TGTAGTGCACGCAACAAGGAACAGGAGGCTACTGGCCAGGAGGCCAGGCCAGCTGTCCCTGCATTCCACTAGCCCACTCCCCAATTTCTTTTTTTTGGCATGCATTTATAATCAGGCACTGAAGCTGGTTGCACAGCAGGGCTGGGGACACCAGGAGTTGCTGAGGTCCTGGTGCGTACCAGCACCAGTGCAGGCTCCCCTCTGCACGTGTTGCCCAGCCTTGTACCAGTTTCTGTTTGCTCCTCAGTAAATGGCAATCAACAAAGGAGAAATATTGACTTCCTCAGCTGCTACCAGCTGCCCTGTTCAATAACTAGGTCAGCTAAAGGTTAAACCAGCCAAGGCATGAACAGCAAGTTTAAATTTAAAAAAAAAAAAAAAAGAAATCATAGCCCAGTTCCAAATTCTACCATTTACCAAGCCTAATGCAACTTTAAGGACATTACACAGTATTTGTCTGGGGTTTTTTTAATCAATCATGGTTTAACATATTTCACACACATTTTTTAATTTTCCTAGTGGCACGTAATTGCATTTGAAGCTTAAGATTTTTCAGCTTTGGTGGGAAAGAAACATCTAGCTTTCCACACTTATGTAGGGAATACATACTTTGGAGATAGTGTAATCTGAAATTCTTCCACTGAGAAAATCAGAATGACAACTAACGAAGCTGCCTGTGAATCTCAGAGCGAGGTTTTAAGCAGTGAAAAAATAATTCCTGTGCTAACACTGCCACCTATTGCCATCCATTGAAATATAGGAGAGACAGTCATTTTAAATCCCCATTCTCATCTCTTCTCCTTCTTTGGTATTTGTTGCAATGCTTTCATGTATCTTTTCTCCTCACTGTTGTCTTTAATAACATAGTGTTGTCAGGGAAAAAATGCAAATAAACCAAAACCGAGTGGTATGTCAAATATATCTGTAGAACAGACGAAAATTTTCTCCAGAACAAAATTGGCAATGTATGGAAGTCTCCCTGTGAGTGGTGACAGGGAGCTACTAGAGTCCTAGAGCAATCTGATCCACTACATAAGCATAGCATGTATAAGTATATATATCATGAAAGTACATATAGAGCCCCTCCCTCCACCCTGGGAGACCTGCACCTTTTTCTTTGTTATTCTCTCCCTCTGACCTCTGCCTGTTTTCTGTGGGGGTTTTATACCTTTTTTCCCTCCTGTCTCACTAATTTTAAGATCAAATCTTACCACATGATTCCTTTTTGCTTGACATGGCTTCTTCATCTTGTGGTGCAGTGGTGGTTTCCCCGCCATGCAACCTGTATCTGTTTCCTTGCCCTGGTCGTGAGAGGTTCCCTTATCCACAAGTGCCTCTGATTCCACAACTTCCTCCCTGCATCATCCTTTTACCTTTACCATTTATCAGCTTCATAAGTATTCCTGTCACAGATTATTAGCATTCATATCATAGTAGTAGTCAAACACTTAAGCCATGCATTACAATACATTCCCTTGAATAAAGATTTTATTTTCTTTATGACCCCTAGCATTTCCAATGAGTTACCCCTGCACCTGCAGTAAATGAGCAAAATCCAGTTCAGGAAAACCAGTTGCTTTCTCCTTCCCTGACTCACCTTTTATTGTGCAGTCCCTGCTCCCGCTGTCAGGTTTTGGTCAAAGTTGTTCTTATTAGTAAAACCAAAATGAGGTACATGAGGGATATAAGGGCTGTCCTTGGGTCTACAAAAAGATCCAAGGAGACCTTTTTATCAACTTTGGTAATATGAATTAAAATGTTTTTAGGAGACCAACTGTAATACAATATACTTTAAAATAATGCTCCTCCACTTGTCTGATTAGCAAAATTGTTCCCTCTCCTCAATTAGCAAAAACCCAACCTTGCTTAAGACTAAAGGAGGAGTAAATTACTCCCCCCCCCCCCCCCCCCTTACAATTTTGGTTTCTGGAAACTAGAATTAACTATGCTTTTCTACTGAGAAACATCATATAAATTATGCCTTTCTGTGCCATATAGACCTTATGGTTTCATTAAGTGACTGCATCTCCTGTACAGCTGGAGATGAAAAACTTACAGGGATGATACAGATGGAAGAGTCATTAGCAGAACTAGAGAAATCCATCTGCAAATCTCACTCTGTAAAGGTTTTATGTAACAGCTCTATCTAACTGAGATGGTATTGAATAACAGGCGGCATGCTGAAAGTCTTCTAATGCTTTCCAAAGCCTGGATTTATGGATAGGGGGATAAATCATTGTATTGCTTATAGTCTGATGGATGAAGAGTGGAGAGTTCTAGAGGCTGGTGATTTATTAAATATGGATGCTGTTATGGGTTCTTTCAAAATGAAGAAAGACAGCTCAAAGAATGATTTATTCTGCATTTAGCACAACCAGTTTCAGAAATGAGCAAGTGAATAGACCTGTCTCCAGAAGTTCTTGAAAAATTTAAGGAATAAGCATTTTTCAATTAAGCATCATTAGAAAAAGTGAAAGAGATTACAAAGGTGGTAAGATATTGTTTGGTTAACTAAAGAGTTATCCCTTGACAGCTTTAGTTAGGACTTCTCATGTAATATTTGTACTTTCATGAGAGACTGTGAACCATTTCACAAGACAAAAGTTTATGAGATGTGTAAGCAGTATTAGAGCTATCCACTTACCCAAGTGACAGAAAGTTCCTAAAGTCGAATGCTCTCTCTGTCCTTTCATGATTTGAGGATGTGGAACTTTCCTGTTCTTGCCACAATTATGGCAAATCTAAGAGGTGTAGCCTGAACTTCTTACACCTTACTATGTAGCTGGATTCACATATACCAGTTCCCTTGGGCTAACTAATTCTTCACCTTATTTACTAGTTTTGCTAAATACATGGTAAAGGAATAAGCTGTAGCAATTTGACCACTAGACTCAAGCAGCACAAAATGAAAAAAATCTAAATGACAACACCACAACTTAAACAACTTCGTTGTTGGGTTTCACTGTATTTGAGAAACCTGTTTGTAAGCAAAGATATCTTTGCTTCGATTACTCTTTACAGAATTGTTACTGTTTGCAACTGCGATTCTGCTTAAGATACAGGAATTGCAACATTTTTTTACTACACATCTTGATGTGAAGCTGATCATTCTTGACTGTTTGCATTCTCACTTTCTTCCCTTACTGCTCTACAGACACATATGTGAATTTTTCCACATAGTTTTCTATGCAAGGTTGTTGGGACAGGGGTACTTCCAGGACTTATGGTGAATACCTAAGCACAAGATTTGAACGTTAAATTTTTAATTACTTGGAGGAATGAAAATAAAGTCTCCCAGTTATGTTCCATTAGCCCAAGGCCTAATACTTTACTTAAATTTGCATACACTCTGCAGTTTACTGTCAAGGGATGAATTTATGATGCAAGATGCTTTTCAGCATAGCCAAAGGTATTACTGTTTTACCTACTTGCAAAATGTTATTCCATCCATTCTTCAAACAGCCACAAACAGACCTCACTCTAATGCAAAAAGTAAACTTAAATTCTATGCAGGACCTGCCATGGAATTAAACAGGTATTTTCAAATGTCTCCAAAAAAAGGTTTATGGAATATTTGAGTAACCCTGTTCTCTGTTGAAATTGCAGTGTTGTGGTTTAACCCCAGCCAGCAACTAAGCACCACACAGCTGCTTGCTCACTCCCCCCCAAGTGGGATGGGGGAGAGAATTCAAAGGGTAAAAGTGAGAAAACTCATGGGTTGAGATAAAGACAGTTTAAGAGGTAACGCAAAAGCCCCACACGCATGACTCTGAATGTCCCCCACTTTCTTCTTCTTCCCCCAGCTTTATATGCTGAGCATGACGTCATATGGTATGGAATATCCCTTTGGTCAGTTAGGGTCAGCTGTCCTGGCTATGCTCCTTCCCAACTTGTTGTGCACCCCCAGCCTCCTCACTGGTGGGGTGGGGTGAGAAGTAGAAAAGGCCTTGACTCTGTGTAAGCACTGCGCAGGGGTAACGAAAACATCCCTCTATTATCAGCACTGTTTTCAGTACAAATCCAAAACATAGCCTCATACTAGCAACTATAAAGAAAATTAACTCTATCCCAGCCAAAATCAGCACATTTTCCTCCCCTTATTTCATACCATTTACGTCATGCTCAGGTCCCACACTATCCAATACATCCTCATTACCTCCCACCCCCCTTCCCATCCTTTGATATAGTACACAGATATCATTCCCTTAGTCTATGGCCCACCCCTGTGAAATGTCTGTAAAATGCCCACAAATGTCCACAAAATGTCCATTAAGCTCATTTAGTCCATTACTTGGGCTCCATCTGTTACAGTGGTCACTCAGGACAGGAGAGGTGGTGCGCTGAGTGGAGTTATTGGGCACTTACAATTTCTGAAAACCATGGACTAAATGAAGGGGAAAGAGGACTGGAGAAACTGAAAAGTAAGTAACTAGTTTTTCCTTGCCTCAAGAAAAAAACACACTCATGCACAAAGCAATTACTAGAGAATTATTAAAAAGAAGCGTTCACTGGCATTTATATTTCCTGTTCCTCTAAACTTCTGTTGGTGAAAATCTAAGCCTTCAGTTTCAAAACAACCCAAATTATGAAATTAAGTTACACTAAAGGAGTCACATTTGACAGCAGATTTATCACTAGATTAATAAAATTTTACAGTGATTTCTGATAGTTCTGTTCACTTAGATTACTTTGTTTTGAATGTATGTATTTGGTAAGAAGCTGGAAACAACAGAATGTGAACACCAAGGCAAAACGACCAAAGAAGGATACACAGGATCTCCTTATTAGGCTCACTGCTTATATTAATATTGAATATAGAAGCAGTCCTCTGTTTTAGGAATTAAGGTAACTATAAGTAGTTGTATCACAATTCCAAATCTCTTGGAAAAAAGGTTGCTATATATTTCTATAAGTTACAGTATTGATCTGTACAAAGGGTTCTTATTTGAATACTACGAATTATATAATAAGATTACCAAAAAAAAAAAAAAAAAAGAAAAGACCACAAAGCTTTTAGTTTATAGAAATATAACTACAAGCACAAGATATACATTTCTCACATTCTTACTGGAGCTCTGCAATCTACTGGAAAGTTGGGAGATTTATGTTCTTCTTCCTTCTATATAAAAGTTCTAGATTTCATTGCCAAACTCCTGTTCGCTGTTTGTTATCACCAGTATACTCAAAAAACATGAAGTCCTAAGAAGGAAAAAAAAAAGGAAAACAAAACAAATACTTCTTAAATGTGGTCCTTAGTTTGGAGATCTCCTGGTTGCTTTGCAAGGTATTCAAAGCCCCTTCCTCTCAGAAACCTCAAATGATGAGAAGAAGGTGGGGGCACCTCTCTCCATACCCCCATCACCTGGGTCTCTCAGAATAGGACACCCACAGAGAGAGAAAGAGGTGGTGAAAGACCTACATGGAAACTTTAAATTATCACTAGCTGAAGCTATGCTTTCTTTACTCAAGATTCCTGCCCTGGCTTTGTTCGACCTGACTCAGTCCCTTCAATTTTACCCCAAACTGGAGTCCATCATAATGGTGACTATCTTTAATTTACATCTGGGGGCCCCATTGCTGTGTCTGGAGTCCTGGGTTGCTCACACTCACTAACACTGTACTTCGTGCACATGGTAGCACGTGAACACACACAGCTAAGGAAAACCTGCTTCGTGCACAGGGCCATTAGAAGGTGGTGAGAACTTTCCAAACTCAAGGTGCTTCACATGCCCTTTTCCTCCCCCTCTGCAGCCCTACCAGCACAGAAGCAGTGCACTTTTTGAAATGGTACGTGATGCTGAATTGCACAGGTAAGTGGAAACATGAGTGTGTTGCACGCTGTTTTCACAGAGCAAAGTGAGCTGTACTGCGTATTTGACATGGCAGAGTCAGAGTGCAGCTGAAAAGCACTGTATCGAGTTAGATGTGCTTTGCCTCCACAGAAGTCCCTCCCATCGGAAATTACTCCGCTGAGAGCATTTAATCCTGCTCAACTCAGTGCTTCACATACTTCCAAGAAGGAGAGTCGGGAGGAACTGGCTGCAGCATTCAGCTGCCCAGTTCACCAGCTCAGCAGGCTGCTCTGGCTTTGGATGGGTCTCTTGGCTATTGCTGATCTGCACTTTTCTGGTTTCACCATCCACATAAACATGGTTGCCTCTGCTAATGTGTCTGTAAGGAGTCTTCCCTTTACAGGGTTTCTCAGTCCCATCACATATGAAGCTCTCCTTAAATACAGTTAGTACTTCAAGTAGTCTAGACTAAGCTAGAAATTATCTGAAATAATTCTTTGTTGCCCTCTGTGGTTAGTTTACACACACAAAGTTCACAACAAGCTGTCGCCCACTTCAAGGAGCTCAGAGTCAAATCCTTTACCAGCACAATTTGAACGTGGAGATGAAAAAGTCGGTTCATATTCAAGTATTAGTGAATGACAGACTTACGATAAGGAAGCAAGCACCAATCATGACAGCTTTCATTTTTACATCAAGGTCCATTGGGAATATGATTCCAAAGTTATCTGCATCTGTAAAGGCTTCTTTCAAAAACCCAGTCCACTGCTTAGAAATCCTCCCAACAGTAGCAGTCTCATCCACAGACTTCACCTAGTTCAATATAAAATTAAAAAAACAACATCAAATCTGTCATTCATAATATTCCCAAATCCTTTTCATGATAGATCCATTTAAAAGCTTCAGACTGTGTTATTTGAATTAACGCAGTCATTGAATGCAACTGTTTGTACCAAAAGGCAATGCTGACTATCAGAAAGTCAGTCTTAAGCAGCACAGACATGAACTTAATTCTAAATCTGACTGGAGTTCAGTGCTTTAATGATGTTGGAAGACAGCTACCGCACGCATGCACACACACTCTGCTGGAAGTGTTGTCTTTTAGCCAAGAGAGTGAATTAGTTTCTCCTGCCATGTATCAGGAGCTGCTCAAGTGAAAATTAAACAAATTACATTCTCCTGTTCTAAAGCAGAGATTAGCCCTTTGCCAACATTGTTTCCTAAAGTTAGATCCAGTCTTCAGAGACTGAAAGCCTAGTCCCCAAAATAAAATGACAGTAAATTTGCTTTAGCAACTATTTGCAACATCATTTTAAATATTAAATGGTAGACTAGTTTATCTATTACTTAATGTGTACAAAAATAATGATGCATTAATCACTATTATTTTTAAGTGCAAGTTGTAACTCTTCGGTCATTCAAATCTCTATTTTAGGTCTAAATTATCTTGATTTACTTCATCATTATATGATTACATGAGTGGCTATAGGAAGTCATTTTAATAAATACCCAATACAGCTGAGAATAACATTTTTTTGTTAGGGCCTAACATAATAGATTCAAAAAGATTTTGCTGCTAAATATTTCAATTAATAGATTTGTGTGCAACCACAAGGAATGAGTCTCTCTGATCACTGATGAGTGGCTTTAAGACATCATTTCTGGAAGTTTGTCTGGCTTATCTGGAATAATCTAAATATCTAGAGAAGTGAGTTGATTATATCAGCATTAAAAGATTAGGTACTAATTACTTAGAATATACTACAGTTCAGTTGACAGGTAATAAGTTGAGCAACAAACTACTATCAAACTACTATCTGAAAGAAGATACATACAATTTTTAGCATTGCATACCTCAAAATTAATGTCCCCACCACAGCTGCAGACAACACATGGGCCAGTAATTTTCAGTATATCCATTCTTTTCTCATCTTGAATGGTAAATTTTGGCAGGCAGGCATGCCAGTTCTGGACAACGTAACCAACTGGTGTTCCTGGAGGCGCCTGAACTTCCAGCTTCACAAGAAAAAGAAAACCTCCACGTGAATGTTCATGCTTTGATATGCTTGTTAGACAAAACCCACACTAGCACACAAACCAAATACAACTTATTTTTCCACAACGATCTGGTTTTCCAATGCATGAAGCTGCATGGGGTTTTCTGTGAACTTTTTCAGAAAACTGCACACAAATTGCAGACCTTGTTGGCAACTTTTGCCTTCACTGAAAACAATAAGATACTCCTAAGGCTGTGGAGCACACAAGCTATGCATCTACAGTATAAAGATCAAAGTCTAGTGAAAGAAAGGCTGTGAGCATCCTGAAAGCATTCAGGGAAGGCATTACAGGATGCAGCTACTACAAATCCCTCAGTAAGAGGCCTGAGTAGGCTCAGATTTGAGGTTTCAGAAGTTGCATCACCCCATAATTATTTTAATATTAAAAAAGCTCATCATTCTCATATGTTGAATTTCACTATAGCTTTCACAGCATAGCTGTTATCTTATAAAAGCCACTGCCTAACTCTTACATTGAAAGTCCATCTCCAGTGCAGATTTTGGCACTGGCCACAAGTTCCCTGACGTGCTGGTGAATCAAATTGTTCATTACCGTAATCAGAAGTGGCAAGAGCGAATCTAAGTGTTGCAGTACACTTGCTTCTTCCCAGACCAAGGGCCTCATGCACAGATCCCACAGATCTCTCTCCCCACAACGCACAGGCAAAACCTGACTTGTTTCACCTTGCCTCCTGACTCAAGACAACTCCGTCTTAAAACCGCACAGGTGGACCACATCCCATGTGAAGGAAGATGGTGAGAGGGAGCAACTCACCTCCTGTAAGCAGCATGGAAAGCAGCACGAAGAACACCGGAGGGGTCTTTGCAACGTTATCACCTCGTGGCCCAGGTTGTCTATAATGTGGAGGGTGAAGGGTCGTGATGGCCCACAGCAATTCCTGGTACAGCAGTCAGTGTCCTCTGCTGCAAAGTACACCCTTTGCCCCAGCGTATTCTTGATTTCATATTTGTTGTTTGTTTCAAAGCCAGTCAAGACTGGAAAACAGGAGCAGAACTGCTAAATTTCTGAGGTGCGTCTGGTCAGAAAAGTCACCATGCTAACTCTAAAGCTACCCTTTGGAAAGGCAGGCCTCACTCAAAGTCTGTCAGAGGCAGCTACTGGCGAAGGGAAGCAGTGGAGAAGGACCCTTGAGCAGAGCAGCCTGACGGAGAAGTTCAGAGACGAGAAGCCACCATGAACATGGCAACGCGGAAAGAGCATGGAAATGTCCTTCAGTCCCCTCCCACCAGACATGGACACCTACTGCCAGAGCAAGCACCACAAATATAAATAACACAGCACGCAAGATTCCCAGGGAAGAGCTGAAGGGATGAGAATTAAAGAATGGTGAATCTGGGGGCGAAGCAAGAAAAGGGCTCTAGAGGGCACAAATACATTCAGAATGAGAAGGCCACAAAAAAAGCCTCGCAGTCAAGATTCACAGCAGCACAAATAGAAAACAACAAGAGCCAGGACAGAAATTTTGATTAATTTCTCTAAAAAATGAAAGTACTATTTGAAGCATTATGGAAAGAAAATGCAGCAGCATTAGGTGTCAGCCGAGATGGATGGTCCATTTTATTTCTTCTATTTGAAAGACACTGATAACATGACTTTGATATTCTTAAAGTGAACGGAATGAGGGGAGCAGAAGGAAAGCAGTTCAATTTGCTAAAATAGCAGGATTGCCTGGAAATGGGATCAGAGCCACCTGCCAGTCTATGGAATTAGATGAAGTAAGAGAGGACAGAAAAGAAGATCTTTAAGTAGGGAAGAGAGGCAAGTAGAAATCATGTGAATGAATTAACATGGGAAATATGTGACTTCAGCTATAACTAGCTACCAAGATTATTCAGTTGCATTGCTATGTATCTTTTAAGATACAGAACCTGCTTAAAATCCTCTGCCCTCCTATTTTCTCCTTTCTCTCTTCCACAACTTCTGCAGGAATGAAGGCAAACGACAGAGGCAGGAAAGAGAAAGGTGGCGATCCACCTTAAATACGCAGTGTCAAAGAAAGTCTAAATGTTACCGTTCTTGGGATTATTAGATTTAAACTTTTCTCGGCTATAAATACTTTGCACTTACTCTCAAGAAGTTCAATTTGCTGATGAATTAATATCTGGTCAATCTGTTTGTGGTTGAAAAATTAAACAGAATAAATAGTTAACACACTGTAACTAAGAGAAATCCAGTTTTAAGAAGCATTGCTGTTTCATTTCAGAATGCAGATTTATGGATCGATACATTGTCTAGAGGCAGATCATCTACCAGTAAAGCTGTGGAAGTAGCTCACATCCCCCCTGTCCTGTCCTGTCCTCTGTCAGTTTAGCAGAACAGTGTTTCAGAGCACCGGAGCGGATGGCAGAAGTTGTACCCAAGCTGGTCTGGTTACAAGCACGCAGGGCTAATGTGCCTGTGCTCCTCTCAGGACTCAGGGTAGCTCAGCTTCAGAGCCTGACAGAGCCTCTGACACCATGTATCCCAGATGCCTACATCAGGAGTCTGTACAGACAAAAGCAGAAAACTGAGACATTTTAGAGCAGAAACTCAGCTACTGCTCAGCTCTGAGTGAAATGCAGGAAAAATCAGCCTCTCCTCACTGGTGCCTTTTTTTTTTTTTTTTTTTTTGAGCAATTTGCAAAAAAAGCAACAATACATCAGTGTTAAGCCTTGATATTTGCTCCCAGTGATGAGATGAACTGTACTCTTACAGTACAAGGACATATTCTGTAATGTGGAAACTATTCTTATTTTGCTATTAGCTTTCTCTACGTTGTGAAGTCTGACTAGCGCCTCTCCTAACAACATTATGAAGAGGTGTGAAGAAAGCATCATGTGGAAAATTAAGCACCTCTAATGTGCTACAGTTGCCCATACTATATATATTTATTATATACATCTTGCCAAATCACGTTACATCTCACAAAAAGTAGCTTCGGAAATGGGAAGGGGGTGTATGATAGCCCTGTGCCCCCGGTCCTTTAGCACCTCACTTGACAGGAGAGTACTCCATGAAGTGCTTGCAGCCATAACAGGCACCTCCACACTCAAACATGCAACAATCACATTACAAAAGGCTTCACTTAGCAGCCCAAAAGTAGCAATCCATGCAGCTGCAACAAAGCCAGATGCTTTTTTTAGCTTTTTCACAGATGCAGGCTGCTTCTCAGGTGAATACGTGTTCTCTGGGGAAGGAGGAAGGGTGCAGGTACCTGTGTGAGGTATTCCAGTCCAGGAGGGCAGTTGGGAAGAGGAGGAGGGACGGGCATCCAGATTGTCCCCTCCTTCACAACGGGCTGGTTCTGGATGGGTGGAACAGCAAGTCCAGCTGGGACTCCCATGGCCGGTACCTGGAAGCCATAGTTCCCCACACCTGCGACACCCGGTGTGGTAGAAGACATGCAGTTGTGAAACTTAGACGTTGGAAAAGAATTGCCCCGTGGATCTTCAAAAGATTAATTTGTTCACTATTTTGAACTATGAAGATCCTTATACCTACAATGTATTTCAGTTATGAATACTACAACTTTCATGAAGGAAGTTACACTGGATTGGGATGTTCTAATCCCTCCAGAGAAAACCAAACAAAATAAATAAATGCATCATTCTTGAATATAGCAGAAATTCTATTCACATAAAGATAGGCAATTCAAAAATCAGAAATAAATAAATTAAGGTTATTTCTAAGTAGAGAAGACAGAATACCTTAAAATACATGAAAAGTATTAGCATTTACAAGTTGTCAGTTGAGCAAATGAGGAATTTTAAGACAAAGTTTTCTGGAATTATACCTTCTACTTATGTGATAGAAAATTCCTTTTAGCAAAGTTCATCTGCAGTTTTCAAACCAGATGAGTGTGATCTAAAAACTGCACCTTCCCATTTGTTTAATGGATTCTTTTTCAAAACTCAGGAAATCCACAACTCCTTCATAGAGGAGTTACGTAGTAAAGGAGGAAATAGTTCCACATTTTATGAATGCCAAGTAAGTCTTCTCCAGTTAGCACTCAGTAGGAAACACAAGCTCTCATGAAGCACTTCAGGGTCTAAACGCTCAGCACCCCACCAGATGGCACACGCAGCACTGCCTTAGCACTCACAACCCATCCCGTGTCCCCCGGGCTGGGCGCAGAGCCTGCCTTGCCTGAGTACGGTCCCACAGCAACGCTGTCTTTGCTACTGAGATGCTTTATGACCTTGTAGCTGAAGCTGCTAAAGTTGCTATTGAAAGTTACAGAACAAGAACTATATTTTTTTCCTCATTTAATACCTTCCTGGTAGGCAGATAAGTTTTCAATCTGATGCAGAGGAATTTTATATTTTACTCAGAAGCAAGCACAACACAGAAGCCACAAAGAGTATTTTTGTAGAGCTGAACAAAGACAAAGAGTTCAAGATACTGACCCGTAGACTTATCTTTAGCCCAAATCAGTTCAGCACCAATGTTTCACATTACAATACTGTTACACGTGAAAGCTCACACTGTGGCCGTAAGCAGGACAGTACCTCGGGTGATATAAACAGCTGTGGCTTAAAACTCATAGGTGGAAGGATCACTCACCCCAGAGAAGGATCCACCCTTATGGAACACAAAATCATTTTTATGTCTGCGCACAGGCTCTGCGCACAAACTATCTACTGCTATTGTGTGTAAGTGTGTGCACATACAATTATTCAAAACGAAAAATGCTCCCTGACCTTCATCACACAGACAGCACATGCTCATTCCACGCTGAAGCTAACTGTACTTACAGACCTCAGATTACCTTGCCACAAGACACACAAACTTTAACTTAGGAACAGCACAGTAACTTAAGCCAAACCTTTTGCACTTTATGCAACTTATGCTTTGAGCCTGATTGTTAGATACTGCTCATTGTCATTTGGTTCTTCAGAAAGCAATTAGTTGCCAGAACATGAGAAGCTATTTAGGAGTGCTGCATTTCGAATGTGGAGCAGAAAATGAGACAGAAGAGGAGAAAAGCAAATGAGTGAAAGTGTAAGGTATAACCATGTGCTAAGTACAGCGACAGAGTAGGAAACAGGAACAGAATACGTGGACCAGCAGAACTGCGAGAGGAAATCAATTCTTTCTTCAGTTCAGGATTTCTAGAGAAAAATAAAGTGAAATACTGAAATAACATGTTAATTAAAAAATCTGATCATCAGCCAGAAGCTGCCACACATTAATTGCTTTCCATCAGTAACACGTCCCTAACAAACTCCCCACAGTGACCACTGAGGAACATCCAACGTTTCTAACTCCTACCACTGTTGGTACTGCTCAGCACATACTAACATGTAGCACCAAGAAGGAAAGAAGATGACTTTTCAGCAAAACAGAAATTAACAGGAACTCTACAGAATTAAGAGCAGAAAAGTAAATCAGAGATGGTCACCCTTGTGAAACCTCCTATTTCCCATGCTTATTTCCTAACGGTATAGCAGATCTGTAGCCAAGCAACCTACCTTGGTAAGCCCCAGGTGCCTGCTGAGAGTAGCCATAGGGGACTTGATTTCCTGGTTCATAGTTAGCGTTTGAAAATCCAGGTGCTGGTGCAGGTTTATGTGCTGGAAGAATGGAACATACGCTTTGAGTATTGCTCGTTTCCTCCTACCCTAGGGTGAAAGATCCCCAACATTGCCCCCTTTTTCAGAGTAGACACATAACAAAATTAAGCAGCTGTTTTCTGTATGGCAAAAACTATATAACAAGTTCGTATTTATGCACAATATGTATATTAAACATTACTATAATCTAAGGAGTTCTGATCCTTAAAGTGCAGAAAAAAGGCAGGTATTGCACATGATGTCATGAAGATGCCACAGAATCACAGCATCATTTAGCTTGGAAGGGACCTCTTGAGATCACCTAGTCTGACCCCTGCCCAAGCAGGGTCAGTTCACTCTCTGTCTGGACCAGAGGTGCCTTTGTTCATTGCTATTTAGAAGGAGGCTTTAATTCAGAGAATTGCCTGGGAACTGACAGGCTGCCCTCCTGTACAGAACAGACTGGTAATGAGCCATTCTCCACTATATAAAACATTTTCTCCCAATTTCTTCAAGTTAGGACTATACTAATGCCTCATCAGCAGACTCACAGGGTTATGGATTTAAAACCATTTACCAAGTTTGGTTTGTAAGTAGATTTCAAGATTATTTATTTATTTATTTTATTTAACTACAGAAATGAAGATCTGAAAATGTAAGCTATATGTTTTGTAAATTATTCAATTTTAAAATGTAATTAATTTCTATTTAAAACATTCATATATCTTTCATATAATTAGAAGGTAAACTAATGGCTAAGCTAATACTGCTTGAACACCTTGGAAGGACCCACATTATCTTTGATATTAATAGAAGATGACATTTTGTTTATATTTTACTCACCTTGCATTGCCGTGGATCTGCTTATAATTGTTCTGCAAAACAACATTTTTATTTCATGGTTTTTTTAATATATAATTTCACACAAGTTATTCAGAGTTCTCTATTTATTATCGATAAAAGATACTTGCCTGTCTAAACTATATGGAAAAGCTGAATTACAAATACAAGCTAAAATAACTTTAAATATCTCAGCTTCCTTCTAGGCTATGTCTCCACTACAACGCAAGCCTGAATTATCTATGCTTGCATTCATGCTCTGAGTATCCTGAAATCATTCTCAACTCAGAGGAAAGCATCGGGATGGGCAGTTATTTCATTGCAGGGCAGGACTCCATTGTGCAGCCATTCAGAAATATCACGCAATTCATACGAACAAATTACTGCAGTCATTTCAGAGCAACTGGTTTATTGTATTGATGTTGACTACAAAACCTGCTTGGGTAAATCCTGGAGCAGCTGTAATGCCATGCTACCACTGATACAAAAATTCACGGATACTTCTTCTCACAGTCCAAATCCCCCCAAGGGAGAAACGGAGTATTCAGAGAGTCCCTGAAATGAAACTCAATAGCAACGAAGTTACTATTAAGCAGGTATTCTTTATTGCAGCGCTGGGCAGCACTGGGGATTCTCCACCATAAGTGCTCCACCGATTTGGTGGACTTTCAGAGATTATATACTATAAAATCCTACATATGTCTCCCGTGGTGGTCTTTGGGGGTCTTCAGATGAAGGCTCGTAGTCTTCTTCACTGTGTTCGCTGATTGACCTCTACTTCTGCGCAAACTCAGTCCTAGCATTACGTAAACTGTGTCCTTCAAGGCTGTCGTCATCCTATTGTGACTTCCTATCTTCCATGCATTTGTTAAGGCAAGGCCCAGTTGTCTGAGATGGGATTCTTACAACCATTCTAACTAGTCCCTAAATCACAAAGGCCTTTCTTTTGTTTAGTTAAGTGACTAAGATATTTAAATATACTCCTTGCCCCTAGACTTTTCAGGAGGCATTTTGATGCAGTGGCTTTGTCTATCTTGGCTTTAACCCTTTCACCACCTAGTCAGTTCTTTATGTTATTCCACTTCTGAAGTGGTACTACTAAATACCACATATCCAATTTTTGTCTCCACGCACTAATAAAGGGTGGGCTTGCACAGCCAAGTGGGCTTCCATAGCAGAATATCATGAGTGAAAGGGCCAACTGCTTGTCTTTTTCTTTCTACTCTTTCAGGGTTGCCAAAAGGAGTTAAAAAAAAGCAGAAAGAACATTTACTGATGCCAGCATCAACCCTGAGAGATACTCCTTTTTCAGTCTCTGGGGTAATGAGAGAAGCAGGCAATGGCAGTAACTTCTATTAAAGACAGAGGTCCAAAATAGCCAAGAGATCCATAAGTGGAAGTACAACAAAGAATAGTATCGCAGCTCCTTTTTATAGGATCAAATGCTTTAAAAAAAAACCAATAAACCTAGTTATTCTTTAAAAAGAATGCAGTTCAAGTTAAACTAGTAATTTATTTTGTCTGTTATGGTTCTTCCAACTAGTTCAGTTCAATGAAGATGGTCATTCAAAGCCGGGAATGAAATTGAAACTGAAAGCAGTTCCTTCCTGTTTTTCACTCCCAGAGTAAAAGCAGATGTCATAGGACGATGTTTAATGGTTCTGGGATGACATGGCATCCAGCTCACTTCCCAGCTCGTACACAACATCCTCTTTGTTTAATAAATTGGTCTTAAACTGTTCCCTTTTTAATATGTTTTTCTTCTACTTTACTAACGAAACCACCATCCTGTTTTACATACTTTAATTGGATTCTGGTCCCCATATGAATACAGGTTAAAAAAAAGTAATAGGAAATAATTAAATATTATACATCTAATTTAAAAATCTGAAATAAAAAATTCAAACCACATAACTGAAACCTTGTTCTCACACTTGATAGAGTGACAAGTTTAATATATGACCATATTAAAATATGTTGACAAAACTACCAGCTTGTAGGAATAGCACAAATTAAAGATGAATAAAAAAACATTATTTAAACTGGCAAAAGATCAGTTTATCAGTTTATACTGTAAGACGTTCCAGCTACCGGAACTTCAGTGAAATACTGACAATTGCAACTGAGCCCTCTGGTCAAGGGAGAGTAGAGGCAGAATCATATGATTTATTTAAAAGAAAGGCTTTATAGTAGCCCACAATCTTTTTTCTCCCTACAACCACACATATTGCACACTGTGCAATCTAGGATTTAGAAAATGTTGATATGCTCTATAGCTAGAAAAGCAACAAAGATTTTACAAAGTTCAACTCCCATTTCATCAGACATGACGCTAAAGAGAATAGTTCAGATTACTTCTTTTATTAAAATTGTCTCTTTTCTTCTATTGCTTTTTATCTGGATTCCTTCTACCACCTCCAATTCAGTCACCAAGATTAACACATTGTCAGTCATGCCCTGCTTTTCACCTGAATAGTTTCTAAAGACTGTGAAATAACATAAAATTCTAAAATACCAAAGGAACAAGGAACAAAACCTCACTTTTGTCAGCCTTTATATTGCACAATATATTGTTCAGCCACATTGTTATGCATGGGGAAATTCACACCTTGTGAAACCTCAGTCAAGAAACAGTACTAATGGGAAGACTAGTCACTTAGAAACTGTTGGTCCAGCTGCCTGGGTTACACAAAGCAAGGATCTGAAGCCTACATTTTCATCTCAGTTTAATAAAATGAGGCTTTACGTGCTGCTAGGTATTACTAGTTCTAGTAACAGTTTTAAAATAAATACAGGGAACAATCATTAAAATGTTACTTACTTAGCAGGGAAAAGTAAAGGCATTTGCATTTAGCTCCCACTAATACAGAAGAAGGAGAACACTATTTCTTTATAAAGGAGTAAAAATTCCACAGAATTAAAGAAAAAAAAGAAAGAAAGTGCTTCAGCAAGTAGAAGTCCACTACTGAATTAATTTTGATTCAACAAAAACAGTAGCTGCCTGAATCCCTTGCGCTATGCTGGCCACATGCTGCAACCTGAATTCACAACATAAATCGAGAGTAAGTTGTGTTGGCGTGAATAAGCTGGCCATGGTGTTCCAGAAGCAGCAGCTGTATATCGCTGCATACATCTTATAAAACGCTTTACAAGGCCCTGAGCAATCTGAATAAATTTGAATTTAGAGGAATGGACCAAATGACCTCCAAAGGTTATCCTTTCCAACCTAAACTATGCTAGGATTATAAGGGTCCTTCACATTTTGTTACGTTACCTGAGGTATTTGCTGATCAAACATTCCCCCAAATCCGCCAGCTGGAGTGCTGAAGGGTGAGAGGAGATGGGGACCAGGCTCCAGCTCCCAGCACCTCAGCCCCCACCGGGGCTATTTTGGGTTAGGGCTATGCGAGGGAGCCTGTGCCAGGAAAAGCCACCAAGTTTTGCCCTTTCCGCTCTTCCAAAGGGAGTACAGATGAGAAATATCCTCTCTTCTCTGGACGAGGGGACATACCTGGGTTCAGGTTTACACAAGGGAAAGCAGAAACAATTTTGCTGGCAGAAAAGAAGCACTGGGAGAACTGAAAACGCTTCATGCAAAGCAGCTGTCTATCCGGTAATGAATGACCCTTATGAAATACAGTCTCTGGATGGTCTGAGGTGCCCCCACTGCACCTGCACACTGGGAGTGGGAAAGGCAGGCACTGCCCGCTGCCTCCTGAAACACACACCTGGAACCCCGCAGCATGGCTTCCACCCTCAACTGCTGCAACGCAAAGAGGAAACGAAAGGCAAAAGAACCGCCCTCCCCCCCACACACACACAGAACGGTCCTTCCTTCGACTGCCAAGAGCAGCCGTTCAGCTGCAGGTTAGCAAGCTCCCAGCAGACACCCACAGCTCATTTGCTGTACTGCTCACGAGAGAAAGGAACTCCTATCAAGAAGCCTCATTCTCCATTGCCTGTCCCTATACGTTGTACTGTCTAGAACCTATATTGCCAGTCTTCTCCCTCATCGGCAGGAGTTCCCAGACTTTTTCCCTTTGCTCTCAGAAGTAGCAGTCAACTGGTGCAATAGCCTCTCACCCAGCACTAGCACACCCAACCAGTTCCTCACTTTCTCCTTACTTTCTTGAATTGTTACTCAAATGGGTAACATGGAAGCAACCCTCAGAGGCATCCAGGTGCCCAGGCACAGTGTTTTTCCCCTTCCAGAAGTTTTGAGCCCAGGGAACTTAAGACCAGCCAAAAACTTTAGGAAAGGAAATCGAGGAAATACTGGTTCCAAAGGAAGTCAGAACAAAACTCTTCTAGTTCAGAGAACAGTAAGGAAATAACTTCCCTAGATTGTTCCTTTTTAAGGAATGGCAGAATGTCCATGTTTCTTTTCAGTCACTTTCTCATTTTCAGAACTGCATTGCACAGCTACATCTCCCTTACCCTGATGCATGTCAGTAGATAGGCTGCAACTAATTTAGAAAGGTCTTAATTCAGTTAACTACAGAGCTTCCCTTTTTTTATCAGAAAAACAGTACACTAGCATGACAGTTTCATTTCTTATCCAGCTCACTAAACTACCAAGAGCATATTATCATAAGCCCCCAAGCACAAACATCATGCTGTGGTGCCATTTAAATACCAAGCCAAGCCCTTACCAAGAAGGCTTATGATTCAAAAAACAGACTTAGAAAGCCAAATAGCTGTGAGGCATGCATTAGTTCACCCTAGCTAGCTTTGTGGCACTTCTTTTCATCATCACATTATATTAGACTATTCAGCCACCGGTTTTAACCTTGACTGCTGGAGAAACAGTATACTTAAATATAATCTAGTTGATCTAATTAAACAGGTTACTTTCTGCTAAAGTTAACAAAATAGCCTTCAGAGAAGGAATGAAATGAGCTGTAAGCTGATGTAAAATTATTTTGTTCTGATGCAGTAAGGTACCGTCTCACCTTACAGAGACATCTCTCCTGAAACCTGGGAGTCCCAACACCTGAGAGGCAAAAACAC